ACTAAAAATGGCTAATTTGACTATTAACTTCGAAAAATCTGTTTTCTTTCGTAATGAGCTTAAATACCTTGGCTATGTGATCGACTCTAAAGGGCTTCATGTTGATCCTTCTAAAATTGATACTATTGTCAACTACCCTACACCTACGAATAAAAAAGAGGTTAAGCGATTCTTGGGCATAGCTTCGTGGTATCGGAAGTTTGTCCCTAGCTTTAGTTCAATTGCTGGTCCGTTAAATAAATTAACTTCTACTAATAAAAAAACGAATCCCTTTACTTGGACTACCCAAGCCGAAGAATCCTTTAATAAATTGAGAGAGTTACTAGTTTCTGCCCCTATTTTATCTTGCCCTAATTTTAACCTTCCCTTTCAAGTGCATACGGATGCTAGTGACTATGGAGTTGGAGGTATGCTAACCCAAACCATAGAAGGAGTGGAACATCCCATTGCATACTATAGTAGAACTTTGACTGGACCTGAAAGGAACTATAGCACTACGGAGCGTGAAGCTTTGGCTGTTTTAGTGGCTTTGGAACACTGGAGATGCTATCTTGATAATGGGATAAAGTTTGTCGTCTACACTGATCACTCTGCTCTCAAGTGGTTTCTTAGTCTAAACAACCCAACTGGGCGGTTGGCTCGCTGGGGTGTCCGCCTATCAGCTTTTAATTTTGAAATAAAACACAGGCGTGGCGTTGATAATGTTATCCCTGATGCATTGTCACGTTCATGTAAAGTTTCGGCAATAGATTCTAATAATCTACCTAGGACCAATGATCAATGGTACTTAAATATATTTCAAGGTTGTCAAAGCTCTCCTACGTCATTCCCTAATTACCAAATAAAAAACAATCGATTGTTCCGTTATTCAAAAACTAATAACCCCTTCCATAAGGAGTTCGAGTGGAAAGAAGTAATTCCTGCTGAGTCGAGACAAGCTATTGTGCTCGAAAACCACTCGGACCCAACAGCTGGTCATTTCGGGATTTTTAAAACATTTAAACGTGTGGGTCTAAGTTATTTCTGGCCTGGTATGCATGCAGACGTTGTGAAAACTGTCACTTCTTGCGATACTTGCATCGCGCACAAGCACCAAAATCACGCGATTCTAGGTGAAATGGGTAGACCTAAACATTGCACTAGACCTTTCCAGGTTATTAGCGTGGATCTAGTAGGACCCCTACCTCCTACTAGGAAACTAAACAGCTTTATTCTGGTTGTCACTTGTTGTTTTAGTAAGTATTGCTTACTATTTCCAATCAAGCGCGCTACCGCTGAAATTGTTACTAAAATACTGGAGGACCATGTATTCTTAATACACGGCATTCCTTCCACGGTGATTTTGGATAATGGTAAACAATTTGTAAGTGCCACGCTAAGACAAATGTTAGATAAATATAAAATCCCTAAGCTGCATTTTACGCCTAAATACTCACCACATGTAAACACAGTGGAACGTTATAATAAGACGATAATGACTGCCATTTCCACGTTCATCTCTAACGATCAACGTATTTGGGATCTACTAGTACCTAAAATACAATTCGCTGTGAATTGTTCCGTAAATGAAGTCACGGGCTACACCCTTCATTTCTGGTATACGGACGTGAATTAATAGCTTGCGGTACGCACTATATCGATACGGATACTGATGAGGATTTAATTTTTCAACCTCGCGATTCCTACGCGGAGAACATAGGTGTCCTATCTTCTATCTTTAATAAAGTTCAGTCACTGCTTCTACAGGCTCACAGTCGTAATTGTAAACATTATAATTTACGCCGGAAACCGGCTGAATTTGATATTGGTGATGTAGTATGGAGAAAGACCTTTTACCTTAGTGACAAGGACAAATATTTTAATAAAAAAATTAGCACCAAAATTTTTAAAATGTAAAGTAATCGGTAAAAAGTCGCCTCTTGTCTACGAGTTGGCTGATATGTCCGGAAAACCACTAGGTTCCTGGCATATCAAAGATATTAAAATCACAAATTATAAAACATAACAATTATTATAAGCAAAGTAAATCTACGTACACACACTGGACCCGGGTATGTCCTAAAACTACGTACACACACTGGACCCGGGTATGTCCTAAAACTACGTACACACACTGGACCCGGGTATGTCCTAAAACTACGTACACACACTGGATCCGGCCACGTCCTTAAATTATACTTAAATAATTTTTGAACAAAATTTTAATCGAATTAAAACTAATATCTGAACACTAAATTCTATAACTACCTACAGTACCTACTACTACTACCACTACTACTACTACTACTACACAAAGCTATTCCTTTTCTATTTTATACGTATTGGTCTACCCCAATAGTGTATAATTATGATGATGGTCTAACCCACACAATGTATTACTATCATATTAAATATACTATGACTATCGGCCCTACACCGATGTCCATAAATGAAACTAGATCATGGTTCTACCCCATAGATTCCTTCAGTTATGTACGCTAAAGGCCCTACACCTTTGGTATTCTACGGAGCGGTGCAACTCCTTAAATAAGCCTTTGCAAGAGCGGTTGATTACTCTATAAATAAGCCTCAATCACAAACATAACTTATTATCTATTCTTCCTAAGTCTATTATTCTATCAATTAGTAGTTATGTGGAGATAGTAATCGCTCCAAGTCAGCTTAATTTTTTTCCACCCATAATTGAGCTGGGGGAGTGTTCTGTGCACTGGTAGCAGAATACTCAGATCGAAAGGATGCTGACGCACAGATGTCTATTGTGACGTCGGCTAGTTAATGTAAGGAATAATGAAAAGTGAGGGATGATTAAATGATGAATGATGATGAATGAAAGGGTAACTCGGTTCAGTTATCAGCAAGAGCGAAAGCAGCGGATTTTTCCTAGGAAAAATCCTACGCTAATGAGGGGGGTACTGTAACGTTGTACCTTGTTGCCCTAAAAATAGCTTCGAAACCATATAAATTATAAATAATTACAATAGATTATTCTAAAACTATTATTAAAATACACTAAATAAACAAATAGAAACACATCTTACTACTTACTAATTTAAAACGCATCAAAATAATTAATTTTATATAAAAACATTACGGAACCCATATTAATTGTTTACGCAAAGGTCCTCGCTTCTATTGCGCCTACGCATCTCTAAACGAGTTAATAACTAGTCGTGTCGGCTCGTCTCGGGCGCATTCGTAAAATCCAACGAACAGTCAACTTAAAGGCATCAGAGGTGACGGCTGTGTCACTCGATCGCGGACGACCTACGTTGCAAGATCGTACTTACCTACCTAATTAAATCTACCTTAAATCAATTATATAAATTGTAATCGGAATCCCGCTGGGGTAAGTTTCCATGTATTGCTTAAGTGTTGCTATTGTAAGGTGTTTCTTCTTCTTAATTTCTCGCTAGCAGCGGCTATTCCTTTTTTTTCTTTGTCTGCTGGGACACTGTGACCTTTGGACCCGGCTACGTGGTCCGAGCTCTGCTAACGCTTGCCTTGTATCTGCGCTTCCAGGATTCATGTTCTACGATTAACCTCGCATCGCAGCCATCTACCTGGCGGATTTATATTCTACTATTAACCTCGCATCGCAGCCATCTACCTGGCGGCGAGTGGAAGACCAGACCTCCTTCTACCTGGGAACTACCTAGGCCCTGCTGAAGACCTGGAAGGCATTTGGAACGAGACCGGACCGCCTGCAGAGCTACTCCACGGTTCAGGCCAGTGTTCTCAGCGTACCTATTACCCCGAACCTGGACGTGATTGGGGCAACAGATATTTGGCAATAATAGAGTGAACTACTTCTAAAAAAAAAAAAAGTGTACTTTATTTGGACCCCTACCTACCTACCTGCCGGCCACCTGACTCCTACAGGAGCCAAGTTGCCGCAGTGGCGCCCTTACCGTGGTTTCTGTTGCCTAATCACGTCTAGATTTTTCTGTATTTCTGGTCGGCTGCTAGATTTTCATCTACCTACATCACATTGTGAACGAGACGGTGACTCAGCGAACTGGTACGTACGTAATCATATTATTGTATTCTTTTCTGTGTTTTATTTATTTTCTGAGGGACGCCATATTTAATATGTCTTCGTTTTGATAAATATGTCGTTCCTAGCTTACTCCTCGGACATAGCCCACTGATCTCCGTATACTGAGTTCTGTCGCTGAGGTACGATTTCAAAAGTTGAAGGACGTTTCCTCGGACACCATAACTGTGTAATTTATTTAATAAGATATTGTGATCCACATAATCAAAGGCTTTAGTCATATCCGTGTATATTGCGCAAACTGGATTTCTTTTATCTACACATGTTACAATATCGTCTAGGAAGTCAAATACCGCCATGTTTACTGTAGTGTTTTTCCGAAATCCCTTCTGCTCGTCACAAAATAAGTGGTATTTATCAAAATAGTCATACAGGGAGTTATATATAACTTTCTCTATAATCTTTGAGAGTATAGGTATCTTAGCAATTGGCCTATAATTTTTTAAACATGTTTTACTATCCCTTTTATGTAGTGGTTTTATAATTGTATTTTTTAGTTTTATTGGAAATATTCCATCTGTTATACACATGTTAATTATGTGTGCTAGATGTGGGGCTATTATTTCTTTTACGTGTTTAATAGCTTTTGTCGACGTTCCGTCATAGCCTACCGTATTAGTATTTTTAAGATTACATATTATATTAATTATGTCTTTATCTGTTACTGATTGCATAAGGCTTACGTTATATGTGCAATATGACAAATCAAAAAGTAGTATGAAAAGAAACATACTGATAAAGTTAATCATAGAAATAGCCCAGTAGAGTCCGAATATCAATCTGTCGGCTATCGTTTCGTCGTCCAAAGGTTTCTGTTCCCAGAAAGGCGAATGGGTGAAGTTGGTCACTAAGCAGTAACCAGCCCTGAGACATACAAAAATGAATATTAAAAAAATATTTCTAGATGAGGGTTGAGTCTGATGAAATCTTCAATGCTTGTAGGAACTCACTGGAAGCACATGAAGCCCTGTTGGATGGCGGCAATGAGGTAGCAGGCGATGAGCAGCAGCAGAGTGTAGGACAAGAAACGGAGCACGTTACTGCGGTACCCACAGCTCTCCTCCAAGCTCTTCAGTTCACGGAACAGCTGGAAACGGGGTGAATAGTATTTAAAAAACTCAAACTCAATAGACATATGACTTTTGCCGTCTATTACAATTTTAATGATCTATGGTTTTGTCACCTTTGGCACGCTGAGGAGTTTATTGATGCCAGCAAAATGGCCATCACCGACGAACTCGAAGATAGGCAGCGTGGCCACCACGTTCAGCACGAACCAGTGGCTGCGCATCTGTTTCGAAGATGTCTGTGCAAATGTTATCGGCACTCCTGGTAACAGAAATATACATTCAGAACATAGCCTTAGACACAGGGCTTAGATTCTTCCTTAGATACTCTAGTGACGTTTCGGAAAACTAACCTTCCTCAACATTTGCTCCTGTAGACAAGTATACTATATGGTCCAACACATACACGATGGTCATAGCGAAGTCGAAGAACCTAAACTCCATGGTAACAACCTTCTTGAATATCAGATTGTATGGATGAACCTGGCAAACAATAAATTTTAAACATGCAGAACAAAATATGTCTATCTACTGTTTAATGTAGCGCGTAGAGACCCCAACAATCGGGAGAGGCTAGTGGTTGTTGGTCGGGTTATCGGGAAAAGACCTCGTGGTCGCTCACCTACCCGGTGGTTGGATGCTGATAAAAACCTAACCGGCCTGACAGTTCCACAAGCCATAAAGACCGCAGAGGACAGGGCGTTTAGAGGAGGGTTGTGCATCAAGTGACGCGTGCACCAAACTAGACACGACCTTCAGTAATGAAGAAGACTAGAAAGAAGACTGTTTAATGTACTGATTCTTTTCTGAGTCAATAAACTACATCTCCACTCATGATCAGCAAACAGTTTGAATAAAATATGACAGAATAGCAACAATCAACAAAGTTACTTCTTTGTGCATGAAATTATGACATAGGTACATCAATTACTCACGATACAGATAACCAGTATGAGAAAAGCTACGAATGCATTCCAGGCGACCAGAAGTGAAGAGTGAGGCTGCAAGATGCACGGGAACGAAGGTCGGAGGCAGATTTCATCAGACTGGTCGGTGAGTGTGGTATCCGGGCGCTAGGGCAAATAGTCCTATTTTAATTAATGAAACGTTCTTACTTGTTTTAGTTATTTAAATGAAACCAAATGATAATGACTAATCCACTAACATTTCTTATGATGTAGCAGCCAGCAATCTCCAGAAAGATGTCAGGACTGGCCAGCAAGGGAACGCCTTGACTATTCTTCATGCTCTTCAACGCTATCAAATTGCGATTGAACTGCAGGATACTGCTCTTGTGCCTGACAAATATACCACAGCATTACTTCCACAACTAACGGCCAAATACTGAAACACTACTCAATTTTAAACATAACATAACATCACGTCTTTTTTCCCCGAAGGAGTAGGCAGAGGTGCACATTATGCCACTGTACAATGTAACACCCACTTTTCACTATTTATATTATGAGTCCCATTTAATAGGGGGTGAGCCTTTTGCCATATATCGGGCACAATTCCAGACTCCGTGCTACTACTAAGATTTTTTTAAAACCCAGTAATACTTTGCCCGACCCGGGAATCGAACCCGAGACCCTTGCCGCCCGGCAGTCGCACTTTCGACCACTCAGCTTACGAGGCTGTCTCACTCAATTTTAAGTTGTAATTAAATATCGTCATATCGTGGCATCTCTGTCATTTTACTAAGAATTTGTAGAGACAGAACTATACTTAAGCGTGACTTAAAATTGAGTGAATTTGAGTATTTGGACATATATGTCTCTGTGACCGAAATACCTTAAAAATTAACCATGTTTGAAGACTGAAAGAAATTTTGCAAACGAGTAACTAGTTATCTAGTTTAATTAACATACAGCAGCTACTAATTTAAATTACAAGCGTATAAAGTGTATTGTTACCAAATAATTTATTCATAATGTTCCACTCACATAGCTTCAACTGGTTCCTTCATACAGTAGTGCCTTTTCACCCTTTCAATGTGATCCTACAAAAAATCAAACCGACAATCAACCACGTCTAATTTAGCATATTTAGGGAACAAAGACAATGGTGTATTTATACTTATATATGTCTGAATAACCTTGACAGAATAGAAAAAGATAAACTTTGAAATAATTACATTGATACTTTGGAATTCTAAGTTTCTAATTAGGTACTTACTTTCCTTAATCAAAAATAAAGTATTTCGACTGTTCAATATGCAATAAAATATTAAAAAATAATCACACTTTCATTAATTGATTTTATGACCAATTTAATTTTAGTACTTTTCCAGCAATTTTTTAAGAAATAAGCATGCTCTTTGACTCTAAAAAATACACAATCTCGTACAAAATTCATAGAAAACTGTCGTTTTTGACAGTTCGAAAAAAGTATTGAATTTGACTAGTTGGCAAGTTGATTTAACAAAAATACACCTTATTCCGTACCCGATAAGAAGCATACTCAACTGTAAAAGAAGCCAATATTGGTCCTGCGTGGTCCTGAGAGACGGAATGCTTACAGATTATCCTCCACATCTCGGAAGCTTTTAACACGTGCGCAGTGCAGAAAGTAGCGGCCCTCACGGCAATATGTGAGCTGGTGAGGGCCTCTGCAGCCGCTCCCCCGCACGGAGTCAGCACGGTACCGCGCGTCATCCGCAGTATTGCTGTAGTGTCATCCTCAGCTGTCAACATCTGAAACACAACTCCATAAAACACCATCAAATACCGAGTAAAACTTAACATAATTGCACATAGGAAAGTACAAAACACATCATAATATTAGCTACAAGGCATCCACTGCTGAATATAGGCCTCCTTCAATTGATGAAAATGAATAAAGTCGAGTTGTCCTAGAAATTACAATTCAAAACCCATTTGATTTATAAAACTTAATCTGCTAAAACTATATTTAATTGGTCGGTGCTGGTAAAGTTACCTTATTTTGGAATTTAAAAAAATGTATACGAGTACAGAACAAGTCATAATTTACTTCAACATCTCCATAAGTGATGTAGATAATCCTGCACTTCTTAGATCCTCGCTTGATGATGGCGTCTCCAGGGATGTAGTGGATGGTCTCCATTTTCTTGGCGAGCTCTGAGAGTATCTGGTATGATACATCTCGAAGTATTCGTGCCTACGGCGAGAACGAACGGTGAGGGTATTACAATTGTATCCACTAATATTAAACTAATACTTTATTAATGCGAAAGTTTGTGTGTTTGTTTGTTACGTCTTCACGTCAGAATGGCTAAAAGGATCGACATGAAATTTGTAACAGAGGTAGATTATGGTGTGGTATAACACATAACCCACTTTTTATCCCACGGAAACGCGGGCGAAGCCGCTAGCAGACGTTAGCTTGCAATGACAGTATGACGTTGTAGTAAGGTGGAGTTAAACGTGTTAATAACATAACATCACGCCTTTTATACCCGAAGGGGTAGGCAGAGATGCACACAGATGTAACACCCACTTTTCACTATTTATGTTATGAGTCCCATGTAATAGGGGGTGAGCCTATTATACGTGTTAATTTCATCCGAAAAGTGGGGATTAGATACAAAAAGTTTAATATCGAGCCTGAATATCGGAGAAACAATAAAAGTGTTAGTGGATGAGGAAATTGATGATGAGGACCTTCTGTGTCGCTTCGAAATAGATGTCAAGGTTAATAGTAGCGGGCAGGGTTGGTGGATAGGTCGGCAGCAGCTGAGTCTTGGAGACAGCACGCTGTTTGTGCCAGTACATCTTGTAAAACGTTTCCACCTTGTCTCGAAGAGCTGGTGGAACTTTCGTATCCGTCTGGAAATATATTTATCGTACAAATTTTTTGTAATTGCCCTAACGTGGAACCTCAAATAAATAATGTGTTAGACTTTTAGCGGGAATGATCTCTTTGAGAATAAGAAGCATAATTCATTTGATATATATGTCAGCATCAGTCGGAATTTAATTCAAAGTCTCGTGTGTCGTAGACAGGTGGTTTATCTCAAAATAAAGTTCTTTTTTACATCACGCCGTTTATCTCCGAATGCAGAGGGTGTACGTATGTACATTATGCCACTGTACATTGTAACACCCACTTTTCACTATTTATGTTATGAGTCCCATGTAATGGGGGTGAGCCTATTGCCATATACCGAGCACAATTCCAGACTCCGTGCTACTACTGAGTTTTTTTTAAAAACCCAGTAAAAGTTTGCCCGGCCCGAGAATCGAACCTGAGACCCCTTGCCCGGCAGTCGCACTTGCGACCACTCGGCCAACGAGGCAGTCGGAATTTAACATAAAGTCTCGTGAGTTATAGACAAGTGCATTATCTCAACATAAAGAATCAAACTTATAATTATTCAATGTTACACGTCCTTCCAGTATGATTTTTAAGATCCATACCATTTCTTTCATGATGAGTCTGTATCTTGACCGGAATGCCTCTTCAGGCCTCATGTACAAACTGATGATGAGGGACAGGGAAGCCACGGCGGCTCCAGTCACCACCAGGCACCCTGACATCATGATCATGATGCAGAAGATACGCGCTATATCATTATCCGGGTAAGAAGATGGGCTAAAAGAGAAAAAGACCTATTAGTTCAGTCATTTGGGAGTTTTTTTATGGTATAAGCCGGTAAACGAGCAGACGGATCACCTGATGGTAAGCAATCGGCGGCGCCCATGGACACCTGGAATACCAGAGGCGTTACAAGTGCGTTACCGGCCTTTTGGAATTAGGAATTTGAGGATTGTTGGGGATTCATGGAGTTTCGAACTAAACTATGTACTTATATTGCAAAAAAACTGTCAAGATATAAATTGTAGGAAACTGTGAGTAGTTTAATTGTGTAATAAACGTTTTTCTCTTAAGATGCACATAAAAAGAGATATTGCAAAAAACGTTTTAGGCCGCCATTTTCTCCAAGTTGTAAGTGCGAGTGGCGCACGTACGAGGGTGCAAAATGGAAATCGGTAAAAGCACAACAAAATCTACAAATTTGAAAAATTTTCAAAACTCCCCATACTTCCTCCTTAATAATCGAACTATATTCTTTATAATGAGGATAATTGTTGATCACATATGCATATTTTATTGACCGGTTTCAGTATCGGGACTTATGTAAGATGTCGATTTCGAAAATGGAACAGATTTTAGGAATCGGGCCTGGCGTACATACCTATCGTTCACTCGTAATATGCATAGGTTAGTGATGAATTAAAAAGAAGTTACACTGAACATGTGCCGATACCGCTTCATGATGTGAAGTAAAGCTATTGCAGAAGTTACCCGATAGGTATAAACATCTTGCTGATCATGTAGAGGGCTGAGAGGAACTCTCCCGCGGGGTTGTCGTAATCTTTCATCTGTATAAGTTTCTCTCCAGCAGTTTTAGTCTCCGGTCTAATAGTTGTCGTTTCATTCTGATTCGAACGAGTTATGTAGTAAGATGGCTTTATCTGAAAAGTCGGAAATTAATAAAAATGTGTTGTAGTTACACTGCCTCGTTGGCCGAGTGGTCGCAACTACGACTGCCGGGCAAGGGGTCTCAAGCAAAGTATTACTAGTTTTTTATAAAATTCTCAGTAGTAGCATGGAGTTTGGAATTGTGCTCGGTATATAGCAATAGGCTCACCCCCTATTACATGAGACTCGTAACATGAATAGTGAAAAGTGGGTGTTACATTGTACAGTGGCTTAATGTGGACCTCTGCCTATCCCTTCGGGGATAAAAGGCGTGATGTTATGTTATGTTTTGTGTTGTAGTGTAGACAGTCGCGCCTGCTAAGGTACCACAATCAACTTAGCAAAACAAGTGTTGCAAAGTTTTAGTATCAATTCTGAATGTGATTCGCAGGTAAAATTAATTCCAATAATGAATTAAAACAGGCTGATGATGATGATGATACCATTTATTAATTCCTTTTCCTCTTTTCATTTGTTTAATCTTTGGCGGTGGACGTTTGGACTTAGACTAAATTCGCCCAGTATCAATAAATCTAGGAAGGTACTAACCGTCACTACGTGTAACCAAATGTAAGCCCACGTGATTCTCATCACCATGAATATGTAGCAGAACTTCAAAGTGGTCCCTACTATGCTGCCCTTCAGGTTGTAATCAGTTAGGGACCCTGAAATAAATTTTCGTGATTGTTATAAAAACATTCTGCGTAACATAACATATAGCCTTTCATTCTCCAGTGTTTGCATGTAGGTACTGTTATGAGTAACACACATACCAACGGTGAGCACAGAGCCGTATTTTTAGGGCAAAGTTTATAATGCTTTTATTTTAGAGGTGCCAATGCTAGGTGCCAAATAAATGTCTATCTATCTTCCTTACTTTTTTTTCTTACTTTTTTCTGCCCTGGAGTATACAACTCCTTACTCGCAACTGCACTAGAGTGGCACCAAGTTGGCTGAAGAGATTATCCATATAGGAAACACCTACAACCGCGCTAAAATGGGCAATCCGACAACCGCTCATCAGTTACACTACATCGAAACAGAAGGGTTATACGGATTAAATTTCTGTAAACTGAATAATCCAGACGTCTAGTGGCTGATATGACAATGACGATGATGATGATGGTAATGAATCCTGAATTGTACTAACCAAGATATTTATAAGGCCGATGCAGTCGTATGTAATAAGCACCGAGCTTAAAGCTTGGATTGTTTGTCTGGACGTAATGTGCGAACGTGCCAATGTCCAATAAAAATCCAACTGAAATATAAAATTGTGTTAAATAAAACGTAGCAACAATTATGTTACATCTTGCAAGAACAAAAGAAAATATTTAGAGCATTCTACGGTATAATGAAGTACTTCTTGACTTAACTAAAAATCGCGAATTAAACGTTAAGATACTGATAAAAGCTCTATTCTAGTGCGCAGTCGCGACGATGTCGCGCAGCCAACTAGCCATCGCCGCGACCGCGCACTCTGCTCATGAGGAAGAACCACTCTATGGTTCGAAATTAGTAGATCTTTTCTCATTATATTCACGTAAGTAACCCGCGATTTTGAGTTAATTTAGTATGTCTTCCGATAGTTATTATAAAGACTTATTTACTGGCCGCAATAGATGCCATACTGGCTGCTGTTGGAAGTACAACACTTGTGACCCCCGTGTGGCTATGTCATTTTTTAATTATATTATGATTAAAATTTAGGCAATTTCACTTCTTGTCAACAAAATACTACACTAACTGCAAATAATGTTATACACGTTATTATAGTAGTACTAACGAACTATCCAAATAGTGATATCCGTGCTCTCAAATTCGGAAACCATTTTGTGGCCAATAGCGAAGATGTGGAGGGCGTAAGAGACGTTGTAGATAATGTCGATGATGTCGATGTAGATGTTGTGCAGATGGGCGACAGTCCACACGAGCCCCAGCAACACACACGCACAGATGTAACAGTTCCACAGAGTGTCATCGGGCAGGTCCCGAAACCATGCCACAGCTCTATCATGTGTCCACCAAGGAGGGTACAAAGTCTAAAACAATTAATTTATAGAAGTAAAAATCAATATTCTGGGTAATTATGCAAAATGTTATTATGTGTTTCCTGCAGGTTTAGGTAGAAGTGTACATTGCATACTAGACGGAACGTTGAACCGTTGGGTATTAGTGAGCTATTCTCTAAAAAGTCTTAGACTCCTCAATAACACTGCTCGACCTGGGAGTCGAAGGCCCTTGCTTAGTAGTTAAGGTTTTAACTGCCAATAGAAAACTGCTGAATGCAAATCCTAACGTCGGCCACCGTGAAAAAGAATAACGCACTCTTTGTGAGGTCTTCTTCTAGAGTTTCTTTGCATTGTAATAAAAGGTACAAAAGAGTAATTTGCCTCAGTTTGTCGTATGAAGTATTGAAACTCGAGCTCTTTGGCGCGACTGCCCGGACTGGTGTGACTGCTGCGACTGCTGCGGCTGTTGCGGCTGTCCACGCTGCCCGTGCGTGTGACTTGTCGATTTCCTTCAACCTTATTGCTTCCATCAGCCGCTCGGCTGCTAGCCTGGCGGGCCCTTCGTAAATTCCACAACAGGTGCTAACACACACAAAATTACATAACATAACATCACGCCTTTTTATCCCCGAAGGGGTAGGCAGAGGTGCACATTTCAGCACTTAATGCCACTGTACAATGTATCACCCACTTTTCACTATTTATGTTATGAGTCCCATGTAATAGGGGGTGGGCCTATTGCCATATACCAGGCACATTTCCAGACTCCGTGCTACTACTGAGGATTTTTAAAACCCCAGTAATACTTTGCCCGACCCGGGAATCGAACCCGAGATCCCTTGCCCGGCAGTCGCACTTGCGACCACTCGCCCAACAGAGGCAGACAAAAATACACATTTTTATAAATAAAACATAGTTTATCTGTTGATGTTGTGGCCACACATGGTGCATGTCAAATGACAAATGGCTCACGCACATAGATGAAGACAAATCAACGGATGACGTCACCAAAATCCTACATCGCACATGTAAAGTTTACATGCGAATTAACACGGATAGAAAATCCCAACGAACAACTGTTGGGCAGAAAGTCCGTCAAGCACGATCACCTCGCCTGGTTGGAGGATCCTCCTTTTCTGATCTTAGGGAACGATACTCTCTGTTTCCTAAAATGTCTTCCAGCTGATGATACTCATTAATATTATTCAGAAGAGATCTAAGTTGTCTATTAAGCTGCACTTACTAGCCAGTTTCCATACTTACATACTTTTTTAAAAAGAGTAACGAATGGAGTTTCTTGCTCGTTCTTCTCCATTCGAATCTACATTTTAGAATGAGCACCTAGCTTCACTGACGGACTGACTGACAGATTATTATTTATTTTGTATAATATGTTGACGTTTAAAAGTACCAAAATAGGGTTTAATTGAAATAAATACTTTGACTTTGACTTCATGAATTTCCCCTTAGCAAATCAATAAGGGCACAAATTGCTTTACCAAAGAACTGGGGAACAATTTTCTAGTGCTAATGCGAATAAATGCGAACGTTTGCGTTTTATGTTTATGGTTGTTACTCAATCGTGTCAACGGCTGAAGGGCTCGGGATTCAGTTTGGAACAGGGACAGTTTATACTATGGGAGAAAACATAGGCTACTTTTTATCGGACGAGAGCGCGGGCCAAGCCGCTGGCAAAGGCTACTGAAGAATATAGATGATAATATGCACGTTAGACTAAGACAAGACGTCTGATACTGACATCGGATCGGAGAGTTTGAATTAATGACATAACACAACATAACATCACGCCTTTTATCCCCGAAGGAGAGTAGGCAGAGGTGCACATTATGCCACTGTACAATGTAACACTTTTCACTATTTATGTTATAAGTCCCATGCAATAGGGGCCGAGCCTATTGCCATATACCGGGCACAGTTCCAGACTCCGTGCTGAGATTTTAAAAACCCAGTATTACCTTGCCCGACCCGGGAATCGAACCCGAGACCTCTTGGCCGACAGTTGCACTTACGACCACTCGGCTAACGAGGCAGTCTTTTGAATTAATGCTTCTACCAAAAATATTATTTGCCTATTTCATTATATTACCTTCTGCCAGTGGCGTCGCTCGCGTTTCCGTGAATTAAAGTAAGTAGCCTACGTGTTATTCCAGATTAAAGTCTATACTTGTTCCAAATTTCATCCCAATCTCTTCAGCCGTCTCGAAGTAATTGAGTGACGAACATACAAACTTAATACTTAAGAGTGAAATACAAAATATTATTTTGACAAAAGAGCCAACCTGCATGTTGATGGTCTTGGCCAAGTCCGATTATTTTTAATTAATGTTTGCTACTTGTATTTCCCAGTGGTTTACACAATCCATTACACATTTTCCAATATTTTCCGGTTCTATTTTCTTAAAATCGATAATGTCAGACATGTCAGACCACATGAGAATCTGTCAAATGTCAAATATACTCTTTATTTTCTGCTTCTTGCCTTGACATTGAAGGATGTCCTTCTATATTCCAAATAACAAATGAGGTTGATATACCCTTTAATAAGTTTATAACTACCCTTATAAGTACCCCGTATCGTACCATGTCGTGGTGGCCCGGAGGTATAAGACGCCCGCTTCTCATGCATGAGGGTGCGGGTTCGAAACCTACCAACGGCAAGTACCAATATGACTTTTTCCGAGTTATATGTTCTTTCAAAGATTATTTAGACATCACTGACAAACGGTGAAGGAAAACATCGTGAGGAAACCTGGGCTTATAATTTCTAATTATAAGTTTGTAAAAGCCAACCCGCATTAAGCAAGCGTGGCGATTAATGCTTAAACCTTCTCCGTGTGAGAAGAGGCTTTGCTCAGCAGTGGGCATTTATAGACTGTTAATGATGAATGATGATAAATACCCCAGGGTTAACCGCTGATTTCAATAACCGATCTCCATCCAAGAACGTTGCTCCATTCAAAATCTGTGGATTTATTAAATCGATGTAAGGACGGGACACTATTATATGCATAATTAAGTTACGTATCTCTATACTACATCGATTTTTGCCAGAAACACCGTGGAAATACCATACAAATAATGTAAAATCGATCCTTATCCGCAGAGTTTTCATTGAGATAGATTATTCAAATCAGCCGGAGAATGATAACATTCTCTGATACCTTTTTTCAAATTTCGGGAGAAGATTTAATAAAATGTTTATGTCATACATATTGAACTAGTTACATATCTACTTAATACATTCGTTTGATTATAAACCTTCGAGTCTTCGATTTCGTGAGCGCAAGAATTAACACTCGCTTTGCTTCAAATATTTCCTTTCCACAGCTTCATTATAAAAATTAAATTCAAATTAATAAAAAAGACAACTTAATTTTGTATTAACACATATTTATTTTAATTATTTACATTTACAAAAGTTCACTTAACAATATCACATTTATTATTCTATTTGTATACATACAAACTAACATTTAAGTTATTTCGTCCATAACAAAGTTAAAAATTACAAATGTTCAGAATCGGATTACAATTTAAACAAATATTAACCTCACTGCTATGTACTTAAAGTTGATTTGAATACGTAAAAATTGAGCTGAATAGTTCAGAAAAAGATTTAATGAAAAATAAACTCTATATCACAAAAATCAAAGTTGCTATTTCTATAACTCGGCAGATGTACATAATATTAATTGTCATGTACTATATTTAAACTATATCTTAACTCGTCGAGTACCGGTTTTATAGACACAATTAAAGAACAATAGGTCGCGGTCACCGGTGACCGCTTGGTGTTTGACAGTTTAAAACAAGGTAGTCATTATTTTTATTCAATTTATCTCAGTTTTAGACAATAGAATAAAAATAAAATCATATATTATGCGACTTCGTCCGCGTAGTAACGGTAAAATGGAGTGAACAGGGTTTGAGCGACGAAAAGGGACAGAAGAGGGGTGAATCGATACTATGAAGAATTTCCTTATCTATTTCACCCCTTTATGTCCCTATTCACCTCTCGATCCTTATTCACCCCATTTTACGGTAAATGAATTTTAGGACATACCTTTTTTGTTTCTACATTCCAAAATAGAAGTATTTGTTACTCGTTAGTACCTCACCTACCTGCCAACAAAAGTCCCATAATTGGTCCAGCCATTTCAGAGATTAGCCAGTACAATCAGACAGGCTAATAAAAAATTTAAAAATGTTATTTTGGTATAATGTATCTTAAGGATATTCATAATTTTATTATACATGTAGTAAAAAACGGTTATTTTAATATAACAAACAGATTCTTCAATTTTATTTATCTGTACAGATTGACGACTTTGTACGACTTGCTCACGTAACTGCTTAAAGAGTTTAACTCGATGTGTTTCAAGCCACTCCAGGAGCCCATATTCAAGAGCAGCAGCGCGATAACCGAACCCAAGCTGTGAAGCTTGACTTACGTAAACATCTGTACAACCTAAATAATTTACTAACTGTGTCTGATAATAGTTATAATACAAAAAATATATTGTTCATTACATTTGATGCCATTTTACAAAGAGACGATATGAAATTAGCTGCGACAGCTTGTTTATCTATAGTCCTTATGAATTTAATAATATTTATTATGTCTCACAATAGTTGTGATACAAAAGTACATTTCTTATACTCTTTGAAAGTTTATTATAGAACAGTTTCTGCATCAACTAAACATCTCGGGTTACTCACGAGAATATACTTAGAAAAGCTCTACTAGTTTCGAGCCACAGAGGGGCTCTTGCTCATGACCAGCGTGCACGGTTGCGGCGATATTGCGCAGCCTACTGTCAGTAGACTAGTTGGTCAGTCGACGACACTAGTAGAGCTTTTCTTAGCATATGCCCGAGAGTAACCACCGATTTTTAGTTTTTTTTATGGAATATGAGGCAAACGAGCAGGTAGATCACCTGATGTTAAGCGATCAGCGCCGCCAATAAACACCCACAACACCAGAGGAGTCACAGGTGCGTTGCCGGCCTTTTAAAAAGGAATACGCTCTTTTCTTGAAGGTTTTAAGTTATTTTATTGAAGTCTAGTTAAGTTAGTTTCTTCATTTAATTAAACCCTTACATTTAATTTTCTAACATCGATATTCCTAGCGAGAGATTTCTGCTAGTGACTTGATTGATACTATGGCGTGCTCCTCAGTTGGCCTTAATCTTGGCGTTCTGAAGGTATTCGTGGCGGAACTGTATGTTCATCTGCATGCCCACCTTCGTCCTCACCCAAACTGGTACCACTTTGATAAAGAAGTACTGCAACATGGAACAAACAAACATGTGTTAGACTAGAACATATATAGATACTAGCTTTTACCTGCGGCTTCGCTCGCGTCACAAAATAATAAAAAGTAGCCTATGTGACATATACCAAAACACACAGCTCCATCATCTATACGAATACTTTTGTTTTTCCTCGGGAATATCAATTTTTCCGGGTTAAAAAGTACCCTATTATTTAATCCGGACTTCTAACTTTACGTCTGCAAAAATTCAAAGCAATCGGTTGAGTAGTTACGGCGTGAAGGTGGAATAATATTTTTTATAATATATATAGGTTATAATATTAGTAAGGATATACCTAACTAGCCAATTGGAATCAAACCAGGCTAATTCATAACCAGTTCTATCGTTAGCACTTCATTGTTGGGTGTAATTAGTAAGTAAGGAAGTAAGGCTCTCGCCAATAATGGCTTGAATAAACTTAAATTCTATTTCTGAATTGGAAATCGCTTTTTTAGAAAGCCTAACCTTGCCATGTGAACAAATCTTTGTAAAAGTTAACATGGGCCAAAATTTCAATCAGTTACAATTTATAACGAACCTGTATTCCATGCAACCAGTACCCAGTAGTGTTGTGCTGCCTTCCCAGAGTGGAGACGGCGTATCTAGAGTACGTGGCAGCATCAGGCACGAGGAGATTGCCTTCCATCAGCCGCTGGGAGAAGGCGTTGATCTTAGTGGACACGAACAGTGGTGCCAGGTGCTGGATGTGGATACCCTTTGGAGCATACTCCTCACGGACTGCGTATGTGAAACTGCGGACGTAGGCCTGGAAGATAAAGATGAAGACAGACTTTGAAGTGTAAGGAATGTTGAAGATTAACCAAATCTATAGCGGTTGCAATTGCAAGCGTGATTGTCTAGTAAGTTGTATAAGGTTTGAATCGCAGTGAGGGTATATTGAATTCTTAATAATAGTCTCTTGCTATATATTGTCACTATTGTCTGGCCAGTCACATCAGGGAACACGATAGAAGATAGCCATTAAGGGTCGCTGTTACCGAAATCGGTAAGGAGGACTATATATTTATACTAGCGGACCCAACAGACGTTGTCCTGCATATCCACTTGAATGTATAAACAAAAATTCATTCAAATTAGTTCAGCTGTTTAGGATAAATAACCTAAACCAGGACTGCAGCGCCATCTGCCGGGCTGATATGTGAATCTAAACCTTTCCCAGATCCCCTTGAACACACACAAAAAAATTCATCAAAATCGGTCCAGTCGTTTGAGAGAAGTTCAGTGACATACACACTCACAGAAGAATTACATATATTGCTATATGTATGTTATGTCCAGACACCATTCTATTTTCGAAATCCAAAAACAATTCAAAGGTGATTTGCTTGAGACTCGAGACCGTTTCCTTGATAGAAAGCAGAACATTCTACCAGCTCGACAGCCAAAATCTTTAAACATAAAACGTAATAACTTCAACTGAACTTTACCTTGGTAGCAGCATAAACAGTCATCAACGGCAGCGGCTGGAGTTCAGACCCTGAGGACACATTGACGACAGCACCTCGACCTCGCTGCACCATGCCGGGCAGCACCACCCGGCACATCGCAGTCACACCGCCCACGTTCACGTTGATGAGCTCCCATAACTTCGTGGGAGATGCTTCACACAGAGGCATCGGATAGTCGTAGTTGACGCCTACATTGTTGACTGGAATAAATAAGTTGTGTTTTAGTCATCTTGCTTCTAAATGACGTTTATTAATATTTAAGAAGATAAGACCAAAAAGCTTGGATCCACAATCGTCAGTCCCTCTTCACATATTATTTACACACACATCGATTCTGCATTCATCATCATCATCAACAGCCTAATTGTCCTCACCAGTAAAATGCCTTTTCTCACACGGATAAAGTTTGAACGTTAATCACAACGTTTGCTCAATTCGATGATTTCAAGCTTATAATTAGAAATCGTAAGTCTAGTTTTCTCACGATATTTTCCTGCACCGTTTGTCAGTGATATCTAAATAATCTTAAAAAGTGCTTATAACTCGGCAAATGTTACGTTGGTACTTGTTAGGTTTCGAACCCGTCGCACCGTCATGCATGAGAAGTGGCCTTAAACCTCCGGGCCATCATGGCATACATGCTCACCAGATATCTTCACAACATCACTGGACATCACTACCTTTCATTGCTGCTTACTATTTCAACCATAACTATTGTAACCAGTTCCTAATACTAGCTGCTTACCTAGTATACCAATAGGTATGTCCTTGAGCTGCTCCTCAATGTACGGGTACACCTCAGCTCCCTTACTGAAGTCTGCCACCACTACTTTTGTCTTTACATTGTGCGTCCTCTCTGGAAATACACATTTATATTGGTTAAAACATGAGTCTATAATCTGTCCAGCATTATTAAGATGAGAATATAGATTATGGACCTTAAACTTAATCTGCTAGTGACAAATTCTGATCCAACCAAGTAGAAAAAGTCATTAAGAAAGATTGTTTTCATCAACATCTCAAGGAACCCCTTAGGATTAGTGATGACGCATAGAAAGGTATTTTAATTAATATATTATCAACCTACGAGTGACACCTAGATATGAAGATGAAGGGGTTAGTTTAAGTGCTTCCTCACGATAAGATATTCCTAGTTAAGATAAAGTCAAAGTCAAAGTCAAAATCATTCATTTCAATTAGGCCAGAATGGCACTTTTAAACGTCAACAAAAAAAAATTAAAAGTGAAGCTATTTGCTCATTCCAAGGTGTACCTCTAGATTCCTATGGAGAAGAACTAGCAAGAAACTCCATAGGTTACTCTTTTTCAATCAGGTTCACATTACAATTTACTAGTTACATAGTTTTGTTGTTTGGATTGAGCGAGAACAATGTAACACTAAAATCCAGTCCAAGTGATCAAAAAAGAATGATAATATGATTAAATAATAGGTAGTTAATGAAATCAAAATAGCAAAAAGTCCTAAAGGGCGACCGAACCTAACAACTGCATCCATGGCATTGTTTAACAATGAGTCTCTCAGGATTTTTGCTGCAACGTCTCTGCCGCCATTCAATCAACATCAGTTAGTCAGTCAGCAGACAGTCATGACTCCTACACATCATCTCATGTCGCAATGATACAAAACAATGCAGAGACGAAACTGACAATGACAATTGTATTTCTAACAATACGAAGTACTGTGTCAGCTCACAAACGCAATGTGGAGCTTGGTGATGCATGATTTCGTAATATTCACACGTATTTATTTAGGGTTAGTATACTGGTAGCACTTTCACACTGACTTCTTCATCTATCCTACTAATAGTGTCGCGGAGAACCTAACGGGTTACCGGGGGCTCCGGCTCGATGTGCAGGAGAAGGAACGGGGTGGTTTTTAGTCAGTCAGAGTCTGACACTCCCTCCCGCCTCACCCAGGCGGGAGAAGACATTCGATGATTTTCCCCACTTAAAAACACATCCTACTAATATTATAAATGCGAAGTTTTTCATGTTTGTCTGTTTGTTTGTTTGTCTCCTTCACGTTAAAACGGCTGAAGGGATCGGGGTGAAATTTGGAACATGTGTACGTTAAGTGTTTTGGAATAACACATAGACTGACTAGTAATGGCGGGTTACTCACGTGAATATAGGTACTGAGAAAAGCTCTACCTACTAGTTTCGAACCAAAGGTGGAGGTTCTTTTTAGTTAAGGCGCGATTTTTAGTTAGTTTACTATGTCTCACGGTAGTTATTATAAAAACAACATATAGATGTTACTTTTAATTCCATGGGACCGCGGACGAAACCGCTGGCAGAAACTATTAGTATTGCATAAGTGCTAAAATAAAAGTAAATACTACAATTATTAAGATTTTTTCAAAAAAGTATATTTTGAAAAAGTAGATATAACTAATATTTTGATAAAATGGTTCAAATTATGGCCATGCAGCTAATTCTTAGCATATTATTACGGGAGGATATACACTTCTGGACACATCTATTGGCCCACCTTGTATTTTCATTTTCATTTGGTCCTAGCTAAAATTTTATATTAGGTCGAGCAAAAAGTTTTTATGCAGTTTTGAACCTTTTTAAACTATTTCATTCAATAGTCTTTTTTTAATTTCGAACAAAGAATTTAAAGAAACAAAAGACAATTTGGACCCTGTTTGTTAATATCAAACACGCGGCAAAACAACTTGCCGTAAGGAGTAGGTACTTTCGATGCAGGTATAAAGTAAAAATAAAAACAAATATATTTTTTTTAGGATAAAAAAAACTTGTTCATTCGAACTTCTAGGAAATCGCACATAAAACACTAGACGTAAATTTGTAGGCACTATTCGCATCACACGTGCCACCCGAAGAGAAATATCTCTTTAAGAATTACCATATCGTGATGTTTTGATAATATACCATGAGTTCATATATAGTACTTTCGAAGTTAGCTTTTTGCAATAGTCCATCAATTATTTTTTGTTTTAAGCACTTTATTTTTTTGTAAAACTATTGTATTACCAAAACAGAACGATTTACTTCGGGGCAAAAACGAAATAGATTTCACGGTGAAGTGTGTGTCCAATAGTAATATTTGAAATCAATATGTCTATACATTTTTAAATCCACAAGTACTTAAATTGTAATGCTAATGTATTCGAAGTAGACAAAATATTGATCTAATGATCTAACCCATCGTTTTCCGCGTACATCTTTAAACTATAAACAATATAGACGATATTTGCGTAGCAACCTGAACAAGATAGTCTGCGTGGAAGTATATACATAAATCTATGGTGAGCAGTCAATATTTGTGCTATAAAGTATAATAGTTGTGTTTAAAGAACATCTCTAACTTCAATAATACTTCATATGACTTACTAGGAATTATCTAGCTATGTCTACAAAGTAGTAAAATATTATTATGTCTTGCTTGAGCTTACATCATCTCGCCACAACACATTTTTTTATATCTAACGCTATTTGAAATCAAATTAGTTTAACACAGATCATTGTTAAGAAATTATTGCATCTTATTCTTTTTTGAGTACCTACCTACCTAGTACCTAGACCTATAGTCAGAATTTTAATTAGATTCCAGATTTGACAATAGCTACTGTCACTTTGTGAAATAATGATACCACATATAATAGTGTAGTGATGCACACAAAAATCGATAAACAATCAGTGTGTGTCTTTTATAATAAATGTTACAGAAAGTAACAGGATAGCGATAGCGATGACGGCGACAATTTATAAAATAACTTATTACCATAATACATCTATCTGTTTTATTTGTCATGTCACAATTATAAACGAAAAGTCTCAGATCGTTACTTAATCGTCAATACTAAATTATCGGTTCAGAAATATTTAATTTCCTGATATACTTAGTTTACGAGATTAAAATTATAAACGAGAAGAATCGATCCAGAAATATTGCATTTCCATATCGAATAATTTCGCAACGTCACTATTTAGTACTTGTCATAACGTTGCAACACTGAAATTGTCAAATCTGGAATCGAATTAAAATTCCGAGTATACATACCTATTCATTGCGCAACTCTAGATTCTAATGTATTAAAAATATCGTCATATTCGGCGTGGCAGTTTTTCGGAAATACTCACATTGGTAGCTCGATTTTAACAAGAGGCCTCTGTTCCTATTACAAAAAAACCGGTTAAAAATGAACATTTTCAACCAGTAAGATTATTAAAATTACCTAAAATACCCAAAGAAATTGTAAAGTACCCATAATAAGTGAAAAATTACTCCAATCTAGAGTCTAGAGTCAAAGTCAAAGCATTTATTTCAATTAAACCATAATTTGGTACTTTTGAAACGTCAATAAATAAATAATAGTCTGTCAGTCAGTCTGTTAGTGAAACTAGGTGCTCATACCAAAATGTAAATTCGAATGGAGAAGAACGAGCAAGAAACTCCATTCGTTATTTTTTTTTTAAAAGTATGTCCTACAATGTCTCATATACATATTCCAATACTGTACGTATATGTGAGAATAATGGAAAGACCCGCTTAACGCATTATACTAATTACAAAATTTACTAAAATGAAAAAAATAGAGTTTTCCAAAACCAACCTATCTCAGAAGCCACAGCCCTCAGCTTGTCAGGGTTCCGGCTGATGATGACGATGTTGATGCCTTGCCGAGCCAGCTCTAGCGCGTACTGCTTGCCGATACCATCTGTCGCACCGGTTACCACTGGAATAGAAAGAGACAACAAAAATTAAAATTATGCCAAATCATTTCGAAATTCAATCAGCAAGACTATGTCTGCAGAATGATTGTTCGAATAAGTACCTACGTAATAATAAGAGAGCCATGCTTCGATACGAATAGGTCAGGTTGACTGAACTGATTCTACCACTACTACCCCTTCCCAAGTCCCCAACAATCCTCAAATTCCTAATCCCAAAATACCAAATTTTTTTGGAGAATGACCTCTCCGCTATCTCCCCAATCACTGAATCCCCAACAATCCTCAAATTCCTTATCCCTAAAAGGCCGGTAACACACTTGTAACGCCTCTGGTATTCCAGATTTCCATGGGCGACGCCGATTGCTTATCAATATCATCAGGTGATCCGTCTACTCGTTTACCTACATAAAAAAGACAGCAGAATTAAGTACCTGTTTATAAGAATTACAAGATTTTCAAAGATTGGTAGTATGCTTAATTTTTATTTTAATGTCCGTCTGGTAGATTATTTTAAATCATTTGATACGTATTTTTTATTTTCTTACATAAACGAATACTTTCGACGATATATTGATTTGAAATGTCGCGTGACGTCACTTCTATGTACATTTTATGCGTAGAAATGACGTTTTAACCCCCACTCCTAAACTTTGATTCATTTTATCTAAGTATTGTTTTATTATACGACAAATGAAAAAATACGTGTCTATAATAAATTTTCATTACCTAACTTAAGGACTAATTAGATTTTTAATTTTCATACCCTGTCATCATCCCAATTAATATGATGACGGTTGATGACAATCACACCATTACCTATGTCATCAATAAATTGCAATTCTGCTCCACTTAATTATCATATCAAAGTTCATGACCACGTATTCTATTTCTCCTACTCCTATGAAAGTCATCGACCTTGGTAGCAGTAGCAATCCGCTGCGCATACGCAACCGCTTGTTACGTCACTGTCTCTTCTGTTAACAGTGTATCACTATAGATATCGAAGCCAAAAATATGGTTTTAGGAATATGTATCTTATTATCTGTTTGTCTGTATGTATGTCCAGGTTACACTCAAAAGTACTGTATGGATTTACTTCAAATTTTGCATGAATATTATTATAGGCTACATATTATCACACTTTCATCTACGGGAGAGGAGCTGTCAATCACTATTCGAACGAAGTCGCGGGCACAGCTAGTAGGCTATAAATGACTATTAAACATCACGCTACGATCAGTTGGAACCGAGCAGCGAGTAAAACCGCGCGAATAAAACACGTCTTTCAAACAGAATTTCCAGATAATTCTAAACTCAAAAAACAATTTATCTAAAAGTCTAAAGTCTAAAATCTAAAGTCTCGTTTTCGAGTTTTGCATAAATTACCATGCCTATTATTACTATTTTGATTTTATTACAGATTTTCACATCATACCTAATTAAATTATCATGAAAAAGTTATTAGTTGACTCAAAATTACAACGTTATAGACATATTACATAAAAAATATATTCGTCTTCTTTATTAATAACACCTACTTACATTGTTATTTAATTTAACATTCTATTATTACAATAATAAGCCTATTATGTATGTACACATTTAATAAATGTATAAAATCTTTTAGAATTGTATTAAAAAATATTTAAAAAAACGTTGCCCCACACTAGGATTGTCTCCTGTGTCGTGGGTGCGTTTACGAACATATAGGTTGACATACACATCGCACCCGAAACAACAAATGGATCACACAAAGAATTGCTCCGTGCGAGAATCGAACACACGTTGGGCGGCAGCCAGTTGTTCAGCCATCGCACCAACCGTGCAGTCAACAGTCAGTAAATTAAATAAATAAGTATTTATTGATTAATAGGTACTCAAAAAGATTATAATTAAATAAAATAGCACAATTTCCATTCGAAATTATATCCAGAATAGAAAATTAACTTACTTATGTATTTTTTATTAGTCTGCATTAAAAATGATTAAAGATGTTAAATAACTATTTAAAATTCTAGTTATTTAACATTAAGAATAAGTTTAAGTACATAAGTATTTGCAGTTTTAGTCTAAAATTCTGATCGTCTTGTTTCTTAAAAATTAATGAATTATTAAAGACATATAATTATTATAAATATGTATAAAAACTTATAATGACACAAACCTGATTTTATTCACATGATCACAATTACAATTATTCCAAATTCTCTGGAAATTTTTTCAAAATACTCTTCCATTAAATCTTCGAATTTTGCGTTTTTGTTATTATGAATAAAGTTTTATTATTGTTTTATTATTATTATTACAAGAACGAACACGTCAAAAAATCAATTATCCAATTAGCTACAGCCGTTCCGTAGTTACGTTCGTACAAACATACATATCGGCAATTCATTCTTATTTACATTATTCATCATAATGTAGATAGATTTACATCATAAAGATCAACCTTATACTGTGAATGCCAAATCTTTAAATTGTTAGACAAAGTTGCGCAGGCGCAGCGAAAGATTACCAAAATCTGATGATGTTACTGTGTTTCGTAACGTCAAATAATCTGTGAATGTACGGGGCCGTGGAAAAAGAGTTTTAAAACATCTGACTTCTTGTTTATATTTATAGTGTCAATATATTAAACAAATATATTGCTATTATAAACTATAGACTGCCTCGTTGGCCGAGTGGTCGCAAGTGCGATTACCGGGCAAGGGGTCTCGGGTCCGATTCCCGGGTCGGGCAAAGTATTACTGGGTTTTTAAAAATCTCAGTAGTAGCACGGAGTATGGAAATGTGCCCGGTATATGGCAATAGGCTCACCCCCTATTACATGGGACTCATAGGTAACATAAATAGTGAAAAGTGGGTGTTACATTGTACAGTGGCATAATGTCCACCTCGGCCTACCCTTTCGGGGATAAAAGGCGTGATGTTATGTTATGTTAACACTAATTCTAATGTAGACAATCTAGTTTCCTTATGGCATCGAGCATTTCTTTATTGAAACAAAGAGTTTCCTTTTCTTGTATAGAAGCACTAATTCTATGGATTGTCAGTATGCATATGTGAGCACCATGTTGGACTTTAAGTTAATTTTTATTTATTTATTTTTTTAATTTTTGTAAGTTATTAGTATAATGCGTCAAGCGTGTCTTTGCATTGTTCTTACATATGCGTACAGTATTGAAATATGTATCAGAGACATTGTAGAACATACTTTTTTTAAAAAGAGTAACGAATGGAGTTTCTTGCTCGTTCTTCTCCATTCGAATCTACTTTTTGGAATGAGCACCTAGCTTCACCTAGTTTCACTGACGGACTGACTGACAGACTATTATTTATTTTGTATTTGTTGACGTTTCAAAAGCCAAACTATGGCGTTTCCAAACTATGGTTTAATTGAAATAAATGCTTTGACTTTTGACTTTTGACTTTTGACTAAGTTAATACTTTGTCCAACCGAGAAAAATGCAATTTTCAATAACCAGACATTTATTTATTTATTCTTTTATGTACACAATTATATTATGGCACATAAGGCGAACTTAATGTCATATGGCAATGACATTCTCTACCAGTCAACCTTAGACATTAAATAAGATATATATACACACAGCTACCATTAGAAGACACATGCTATAATTACTATGACATAACAACAGAAACTCGATCAAAACTAGTACACATTTGATATGTCAGTGCCAGCAGTGCTATGCTAAAATCATTCTTCATTGCCACCGTAAGCGCGGGCCTGCGGACGGCGAGCATGGGTGGCTCCCCGTCCGACCAGAAACAGACCCGAGCGTACGGCGCGTCGCGTTCCGCGCGCGCCTCAAAGAGCCATCAGACCACCACAGATGGGGCCCAATAGGGCCGATGCCGATTCGGAGTCGCGGAGAACCTAACGGGTAACCGGGGCTCCGGCTCGACGTGCAGGAGAAGGAACGGGGTGGTTTTTAGTCAGTAAGAGTCTGACACTCCCTTCCGCCTCACCCAGGCGGGAGCAGTCATTCGATGATTTTCCCCCCTTAAAAAAAAAAAAAAAAAAATCATTCTTCATTACACGAAAATAAGAATGCTATTATCATGTCGTTATTATTCATCACTTTCGTTTGGAACTACGTGAAGAGGTCAGGTAGATAGGTAGGTACTTACATAGAATTGTCTATAATATACGTAAACCACTATATTGCCCGGCTCGTTGGCCAAGTGTTGGCAAGTGTCACTAGCAAGATGTCTCGGGTTCGATTCCCGGGTCAGGAAAAGTATGGGTATATTATAGTATACTGGGTTTAAAAAAAAATCTTACTAGTAGCACGGAGCCTGGAAATGTGCCCGGTAGATGGCAATAGGCTCACCCACTATTACATGGAACTTATAAATAACATACCTAAATAGTGAAAAGTGGGTGTTATATCGTACCTACAGTGGCATTAAGTGCCGTAATGTGCACCTCTGCCTACCCTTTCGGGGATAAAAGGCGTGATGTTATCGTCGCTTTATTGACAAGTAGCTTCTGCCAGCTTAACTCGCACTTCTTCCAGAAATTCCCGAAGTAGCATCTACTGCCTTTTTATGAGGGAAGAACATCGTCCATTGGCTTCTTTCTCCCACCATGGGTGAGCCTAGAGTGTCAGACTCTTACTAACTAAAAACCATCCCGTTCCTTCTTCTGCTTTGAACTGGAGCCCCAGTCACCCACTAGATCATCCGCAGCTATAGCCAATTGGGATGATGACAGGGTATGAATATTAAAAATCTAATTAGGTACTTAATGAAAAAATATTAGACACTTTTTTTTACTTTGTCGTATAATAAAACAATATTTAGATAAAACGAATCAAAGTTTAGGAGTGGGGGCGAAAACGTCATTTCTACGTATAAAATGTACATAGAAGTAAATGTACGTCACGCGCATTTCAAATCAGTATATCGTCGAAAGTATTCGTTTCTGTAAGAAAATAAAAAATACGTGTCTAATGATTTAAAAGAATCTACCAGACGG